ACTTTATAAGGAAACAGATGAAGAAGAAATCCCACTCCTCCTTCCACTCTCTATCTCCTTGGACCCCCTATTCCTCCTCTCATAAGTAACAAAATCAGAGGGGCTCCGCAACTCCCTCTCCCCCCTCCCAATCAGAGCACCGACCCTTCCTCCTGCCCTATCCAAAAGCTGAGTATCAAGAACATTATGGAACAATCTCATCGCCTCATCCAACCTACCTTCAAAAGAAGCACCTAAAAGAGAACCCACCTCCCCACCCTTCTCTCTCAACCATTCCTCCTCCATACAATCCGTTCCCTCACCTGCACCAGAAAACCTCCCACTCTCACCTTTCGGTCAAATAGCAGCCAACGGAACAACCATATCAACCTCAACCTCATTCCCCTCCCACTGGACCAGCCCCAGTTCCTCAACAAAGGAAGAGACTGCATCTCCCTCCCAAGCATCAGAGAAAGAAAGAGAACAACAAGTCAACGGAGTCACAACCTCCTCATCAGGCCTAGAAATTCTAGAATCACACTGCAAACCCTTCGAGGCCAAATGGTCCCGCAACTCCTTGAACAAAACAAAACCTGTAGCCCCATCAAGCTTGATCCTCACATCTTTCCCCACACAAACAGAAACTCCTTCACAACAACTATCACACTGTCGAGAGGAACCCAGCTCATTAGAACACTCTCCACCATGCCGCTCCACACAAGCAGGAGCAGGACAGTCCTCAAGAGCCGGAGACAGAAAATTAGAAACAGAGGACACCACACCCTTCTTAACCCCCACACTCCCTTGATTCACCTCACAGGGGTGAGAAGAAAAAGAAGAAGAAGGTTAAAAAGCAGATTGTCCATGGGAATAGATGGACGTACTCGAATTAAAAGCATTCTGCGGACACGGCACCCACTTTTGCTTCTCCTTTCTTGACCATCTTCTACGAAATTGGGAAAGAGAAATCTTCTTCTTCAAAAGGTGCCCATGAACCGGCCCCTTTGGACGACGACCATCACAAGAAGCAGGCAAAGTACCGGACTGCTTTTCACCATTGTTAGTCACCGCAGGAACTAAAAGCCCAAAAGACATATCCAAATCAGACCCAGAACAAGCAACATTCGAACCCAGTCCACTTTGAAGCCCACGACTTAGATCCACAGACCCATTAGCAGAAACTGGATGGACTGTCGCATCTTCAACTAGTCCACAAGAAGATGGGAGAGAACTGTCCACACCCAATTGCACTGGCCCAGAATCAAAGAACCAAAAGAAAGCCCAACTAGTTGTCCACAAGTAGAAACTCCAGAAACTTTACTCACCTGCCCACCATTAGGCTAACATTAGGCCCAAAGCCAGAATGCACCCTAGCCTTTGAAGCCCAAAAATTTGAAACTGAGTTGGTTCCAGCTGTAAACCGCTTAGAACGGCCGCCTCCTGAGCACCAACCACGTGTCTGGTTGGCAGCACTCCCCCACCCACGCGCTTGATTCACGTGAAACACACCACAGTTGCGTCCTTAATCCCACCTCTGTAAAACCGGCTGATGGTGAAAACTCCCACTCTCTGAGAACCTCGACCACCAGCTTGACGGTGACGGTCAACCAAAGCCGGTGAACCTTCCTTTTGATTCAGAGAAGACATCCGACGAAAGCACTCTGTATTGCGAATCCACAGCGCATCCCTCCATTCCTTCCGTCTCTGAAACTCAACCAGGCCCTTCCTCCCCATCGATTCCCACCTCAAACGATCAGATTCCTTAAGCAAGTGTGAACCATCCCCTCCTTCCAAACTATTCGTCGTCGGGACAAGATCGGGAAGCTTCTCCTCCCACAACGCCACTTTATAGCAAAGCCTATCATCGTGAATGAAAACAAAAGGAGGGCAAACTTTACCGTCCGACACTGTGATACGGATCCTTTCAGCGTCAACAGCTTCATTAGCATCCACCCAAATAAACCCTCCGCACAAATCACCGACTGAAACAAACAAGGCATGACTCCATAAGTGAAGAGGAAGACCATACAACGTCACCACCTTCAACCCCATACCCTTCATCACTCCAGAACACCCCACCCCGAAACTCCACTTGTCCACTCGTAAAATTGTCGTCCCCCATTCATGGCGACCTTCTTTAAGCACACGAGAAGCCTCTGCCAGAAAGGGGAATCGAAAGAACAACAGAGAATCCGGCAGAGGTGAAACAACCACTCCGGAGGAAATCTTCCAAACACGAGAAGCCCAAGCCGCGATTTGAGCCCTATCACCCACTTCCTTATCAAATTTCCCAACCAAACACGAACGGAGATCCTCCCTTCTTCTTCCAGCTGAATCATCATCCAAAAAGATCGAAGAACCTCTGTAAGTAAATGCAGATCTCGCAGTTCCTCCCTGAAACAAACGAGGCAATCGAGCAACATCCAAGAACGAACGCATACGAAAACTCTCGTGGTGAAAAAGTATGGATATGTATTTTTTTCGATAAACTAGTTACAGCAGTAAGTCCCATACATACATGTATGGATTTTAAGAAAGGATTCCATCAATTTTGAGTTGTTGTTGTTAAACCTGATTCTATACTTTTATGAAATGGGCAGAGTAATAGAAACCATATAACAAAAACTATCCCTCCCTATGTCTAGAGTGGGTTACAGAAAATATTCCCTCTTGCTTTTTTATAAAAATGTTTTTATTTTTTCCTAATTGATATTCACACACCCACCTTAAGGAATCATTTGCTCACAAGAAGATTCAAACCTTAGACCCGATACTTCCCTGAAGGACCAAGTTCTTACCCACTTGAGTCAACCAGAAATGATTCTCTCTCTAAATTCAGAGAGTCCAAGCCCCTCTATCCCAGTTCGGACTCCGAATCGGGAGAGTGTATCACCACTGCACTCATATATTAATACATATAATACTCTTCCACTATACTAATTTTATTATTTCATTTATTATAAAATTCAAGTGGAGTGCTGTAATGTTTCAATTGGTTATTATTATTATTATTATTATTATAAGTAATACTGTTAAAAGTAATTTTTTTTTTAATAAGCCGTGGCACCCACTCCTATTTTAAGTCATTACAATGACTAATGGGTCATTACAGACCCATTCTGCCTTTTCTTTTCTTCTTTGTGGATTATCTCTCTCTCTCTGCCATTTCTCTCTCTCTCTTTTCTTCCTTCAAACATAAAAGCCTCAATCTAGCTATTTTCATTGGGAATTTGATAGTGCCGTTTGCGACAAAACGAACAGCTCGGCAAGATCTTCAAGTGGGTGTAAACAATTTCTTCTTTGGTGCATCGTAGGATTTTCGAAATTAGGGCACAAAATTGGGGGTTTTCACCATTTTGGAGCTAGGGATGTTTAATTTACAATCTCTTGCATTGTTGTGAATTAGTCCTTCATAAATTGTGTTATAACATGCTTGATTTGTATATATTTCATGAGATATTTACTATATGTTATATTTGAGATACGATTATGTGTATTAGTTGATGTTGCTTGAGAAAGCATGTTTAAATGATTATATTCCATGCCTAGTATGATTAATTTGCTAGAATTTGCAATATGGAAGTGTGTTGATTTGTGAAATATGAAAATCTTACGTTGATTTGTGAATTGTATATAAAAATAAAAAATAAAAAATAAAATCCTTTATTCTACATGGCATTGGAAAGTATGAGACATTCATGCATAACAATGGGCATGAAAAGGGGAATTCTTGGGATAAAGTTTTGATTAAAGAGTTTTGTGAAAAACCCGGACGCCAAGGGGGTACTGAGGGTCCGTGGTGTTAATGTAACTTAGAGGGAATTAGAAAAATCGCCCTAGCGTGGTTGAGCTATCTGGGCCCCAAATGACGCCGCGGGGTTACCAAGGGTCAGGAACAGTAGCCAATCATTTTCTCACGTCGCCAAGGGGTCACCGAGGGACGGGTTACATTAACGGTTTGAAAAGTGAAGAAATGGAAGAAATTTTGAAAATGGGGAACGACATAGCATGGCATAGCATTCCATAGCATAATATTGTCCATTTTGGCCTTGTAATTGTTGTATTTTCTCTTGACATAGCATGATCCCGTTTTCTATATTTCTATTCATTGTTTGGATTCACGGGGTCGCAAGAGGTGTGTCTTAGGCACCACCTACTGAGCTTTATGCTCGCCCTATTATTTAACATTTCTCAGGACATGGGAAAGAAGTGGCAGATGACGTTTCACCACAGGCCTAATTTGGATAGAATATCATTTTGCTATTTTTGTATCTAAGTCCCATCATTTTTTTTTTTTGTAAAATCTCAGTTTGTTATATTCGGTACGGAGACTTATAAACTCTTGTTATTGTAATTTTGCTTCATAGACTGTAAGTTGATGTAATTGGAGTAAAATTCTAGTATGTGAGCATGGGACTATGAATAAGACAGGTACTCCTTTGTTCTGGATGAATGGGATGATGATGATGGGCTATTTTGAGGAGGTTGTTGATGTTGTTGTTTTGGGAATGTTTTATACCATTTGCATTGTGTGTTGGGACAGGTTAGATAAATTTTGAAAGTCCAAGAGAGGCCACAGCATTTTTATGTATTTAAGCAGGTTGTCGTAGGAGCCTTTTTTAGTAGAATTCATGCCGAATTTTTTTTTTATAAATTGTATCATTTTAGGATCGTTACAAGTGCCGGTGAAGAAAAGTGAATTAGAGCGTGAAAATAATCTCCCTAGCTTAATTTGGACAAGCTTTTGATTTCCTCGGAGTGAAATATAAGATCCGATTTCTATTTCTCAATTCTTGGCAACCAAACAGGGTTTTTACAAGTCAACAAATTATTGACTTCAAATTATGCAAAGACAAAGCATAATCTAACACAACGCAAACACTATTCCAACACGAAATGAATTCAAAGAAACTTCAAAAGTAACAACCGCATCGAAACAGTAACCCTAAAACTAAAAACCACATAATCGAAGGGGGAGAGAGAGAGAGAGAGAGATAGAAAGAGAGAGAGAGAGAGAGTACATGACTTGTCGAGTTTGAAGCAATTGCCGGCTCTTTGGTACAAATCAGCAGCATCTTCGTACTTCGAACTGGATAAACCCCAGCCGTTGATCTTCTTCTCTGCTTTCTTCTCGAATTCTATGCCTTTCGCAAATTGATCCGCCATTGGAAATTCTAGAGAGAGAGAGAGAGGTAAAATTTCAATTTCAGCTGAAGGGACCAAATGGTGCATTGAAAGGATAAAAAAACGCGAGATGACGTGTCAGATGTGAATTTTTCACCAAATTTTGGTCACTGTAATGGGCCTCATTATGGTTCCAAATCAATTCTGGCCCATCTTTTGAAACCCCCAGACATTTAAACTAAAGAGTGCCACAAGTTCCTCTAGGCCCATCACTCAAATCTGTAGTGCCCAGAGTTTGACATGGCCCAGCTTTAGAGCCAGAATTGTCAACCCAGCCTCAAAACAAAGGTTCAGCCCGCTAGGGCTGTAGCCCACAACAATACACAAAAGTGACAAAAACACCACCATGGAATTTGTACGAATTCAAATCGGATAAAAATGAATTCAAAATTTGAATTAATTTTTTAGGATTCCAATTTTAAGAACATTATAGTAATTCTTATATGGAAAAAGAAAAATTATACGGCACCTTGATTTGCATCTTTGTCTTTTGGATCGGTTGGCTGATATTATTACCGAATTATCTAATGAATGAGAATGTGAGTTCAAAAGTGAGAGGTGTGTTGATCATATAATTACTCTTTTAGCAAACTAATAGACAAGGCTAGGGTCAGGTCATGTCACGTTTAGAAACTCATGCCCACTTTTGTTTAGTCTTCCTTTGGCCATTTACACCGCAGCAATCAACTTTTCAAAGATATAACAGAGATTTTAACTTTATCCTTTGATATCTTCATCATATCTTGTATGTTTTTTTGAAAAATGCTTTTACTAGCTTTAGTATTGAATTTAATGAAGTTTCATATGTTTGGCAGCCAAGAAAATGGAAGAAATGAAATGAAACCTAAGCCATATGTATGAAAAAAAAAAATTAATTTGATGAAGAATGAAACTTGATTTGATCATTATTTTTATTTTTATTTTTTCTGAAAGTATTTGATCATTATTTTTCATTGGTTCATGGAGTAAGTATTAGGGGCAAGTGATAACTCACAAGTAACTACCATTTTAAAAATAACAGTTTACCTAAATTTTTTTATTAAAGAATGCTGTGTATCATACTTTATGAAAAGTGATTTTGAAATTTAATCTAAACTAACAAATTTACCCTTAAAAATTGAGTCAACACTTTGCTATCCTATACTCTCTAGATACTGACAATTCAATTATTTTGTTAAACCCTAAGACAAGTGGACTAGTTTAACTTTTTGTGTGGTAGTACTTGCTGGTGGGGTCTGTGTATTCCAATCAAAACTTTAGTTGGTTCTATTAGAAAGAAGACATCAGCTTAAGTAATGGACTAAGGAAAGTGACTGATTAGCACTTTGTTTCTTTGCATATGTGCACCAATAATCAATTTAGATCCTTCTCTTAGTGACACTGTTTTGGTCAAAAATAATATTGAAGCATTCATTTCTCTTTCAAAATTTTTATTTTTATTTTTTTCCATTTCCTTTTAGTGGGAGTAGTTAGTTCATGATTATCTTTAAGCAATGAGCACATCTTTAAGAAACTCTAAACACACTTTCACTAATTATTTTATTAATAATCTGCTCATAAATTTCTAATTTAAGCCCCCACATGAATTTTTTCAAGATTTGTACCACCTAGGGTTGAAATCCAATGGTATCGATCTCCTTAACCTTCTAAAATCTAGGGTTCAAGTCCTGTTAGGGTTAATACGTGAATATGTGAGTTTCTTGTTGTGATTAAAAAAATAAGAAAATAAAAAAGAATTTTTCAAGATTTGTTGTGTGTAACAAAAACAAAGCTTGTATGAGGTGTGTTTTCTAAGTTTTGTAATCCTAGTTTCATTACTAGAAAAAATGGAATGAATATACTTTAGGTTAGAACAGTCAGCAGATCACAGCTCATGAAATGAGAAGTGTTTGTTCTTCAATTATTTCCTTGAAGCTCATCACAGAATTTATTTAGGTTTATTTGACAAATAATTTGGAAGTGTAGAAGTGTGAGAAAAATATTCCAACCCAATTGCAGGGATACCTCTGGATACAAAAAAACAAAAAACAATAAACTTAACTTCAGAAGCAATAAACTGTCTGGTCAAGAGCAGTTTTGTTGCTAACAAGCATCTGTGTTGTGCAGTGATGTTCTTTTTCTTTTTATTTTCTGCTTTTCTTTTCTTTCTTCCAACAACATTTACCAGTGGCTAAAGCTATGATATAATAAACTTGATTTACAATGAAATTGAAGATTGAAATTGGTTGCAATACATAAAAATAAAAATAAAAATAAATAAAGAAAGAAAAGAAAGTGGTGGAAAAAACTACCTTTATATAATTAAAAGGTGTTGAAATGATGAGAATATATAAAGCGTGTATCTTTAAAAAGATTTCATCCTTTCTAGGAGTTTCTGATTCAAAACTCCCAAACAGAAAAGAAACCAAGTCCTTCAACACAAGATTATACTCATAATGGTGAGCTCAGGCATTACATATGTTTTTTGTTTTCATTTTCCTTTTTTGGTAAATAAGAATATTATTCAAAGAAACAATTAGGGCTAGCAAGGCAAACAGAATACATCAGCATGAAAACAAACAAGGATTAATACAGTAACTGCCAAACAGCAGCAAAGAAAAACAAGCCACAAAGCTAGGTTCTAGCAGCAGATAAAAACCCCAGAACAGCTCCAATCAATTACCTCAAGCATTACATGATCTTGAGTGGACAAGAAAAACTTTTCTTTGAGGTAAGACAAGAAAAAAGGAGATCATTGATAAACCTTATCTCTCCATTGATTAGACAAAAAATAGTAATCATAGATGTCACTCCCTTGAATAATGCTCTTTGTCGCAACTTTAGAGCTTCAGATTCACTTAAATTCTGTAATTTGATGAAGATGATATGTGAGAGAGGAAAAAAATAAGAGAGTTGATGACCTAAACCATTGCGCCACCGTGACGATGGCACTAACATATATATTATATACACATTATAAACATGAATTATGAAAGGTGTCTCCCACTTCATTCCTTAATGTTGAAGAATGGAACAAATTAAGATGAGATTAGGGGAAAATAAATATATTAATCATCACAGGCTATACTTGTACAACTAACACATGTATGGGATGAAACTTAATGAATGATCAAGGTCCCACATTTTACTTACATCCCATCAACTTTTGGCAAGATATGTAGCATTATATTTGCCTCCAGTTGTTAGTTATTGTGTTTTTAAGTGATAAGTCCATTATATATACTAAAATGTTAATGGCAGCTATACCTACTTCCATGCTTGTCTTCTCCTTTTTCCCTTAATCCATGGAATACCACCTCATTAACCACTAAGACCACTTTTTTTCTTCTTCTTTTAATTCTCTCTTCTCATTGATAATCATTTCTTTTAGATTCTGTGATGTCAAGTATAGCTTAGTAATTGACATCTCTTAATTAAAATGATTAAAATACTCTGTACTGACATTCCAAAATATAAACCATGTTCTTTTGTTTGGTATTATTAATTGTTAGTCATATACTTGTTTATGCTTGTATCCTACTCATATCTCCATCAGTGGAACCCATGTCAATATAGTGCATCTAACAAAATATTTTAAGCAGAAAGGAGAATGTAAAAGATCTATGATTATATAGTTGAAACTTTCTGCAAATTGATGCTAGGACTGTGTGATAATATCACAATTGATAATCCTGCTTTTTGCGGTGTACTTGTCAAATTTCAACTGGTTCAACATATAAAATTTTGACCCATTGGCTGTGCAAGCCACTAAATCTATCTTTTAACCATTCAGAGTTTGATAGGTACTATTTTCTTGGAACCACAATGGGTATAGATTTACTGCATAAATGCTCTATATCTATATACTAAAAATATAATTGAGATCCTTCAAGATGAGGAATTAATTAATTTTGTAAAATATAGTTTAGGACAAACATTTGGAGGGCCTAGGTATCATGAAGCACAAAGAAAGTGTTGATTTAATATCCACCATCCACTTATATACCTCTTATATATTTTTTTTTTCCCCTGGTGGACCAACATGCATTGATATGGATTAAATAATATAGTTCTCAGAGTGATCTTATAGGCTATAGAAGATTTTCACAATCCTTTGTGGAGAAGATGGTTGTCTACTCATGAAATAGTGTCCACATCTCTCTCTCTCTCTCTCTCTCTCAAAACCCATATGGAGACACACAAATGTACACAAAATAAATGGACACATGCTATAACCAGTCACATACTATATAGGGTAGGGATAGCTAGTGTGATGACCTACCATAATGAATTGGTCCATCAAGCTAATGAAGCTTCTCAACTGACCATGAGCAAGATTTGGATTGTAATTAAGTTGGTCATGAGAGAGTGTACAAAAGTAGTCATCAGTTGAATCTATTACAATACTTGTATTCTAGTTTCTTCCATTAAAAACACACATTTTTGACCAAGAGGAAGTTAACAACAAAAGATTCTTATCTTTTCTAAATGCTATTCATTAGACATGAGGAGCATCTACGTACACCCCTCAACAATGGATATTTGACCAGGGAAAGATCCATTGAATGAAGTGGGATTTGTAAAAAAGACAGATAAATACAATCATGGAGTCTCCCTCAAAGCCTACCTATGACCACATTCAACATTACATGACAGGGAAAAGAACAAAAACAATTAAAAAATATGCAAGAGCTACAAAACAAGAGTCAGCTTCTTCTTGTTTTTCTGCTTTTCCCCACATCACCACGAGGTCTAATTCACCTTAAAACTTTCATACTATTCAATCATATATGAATTGTGTATGTGTATTGTAACAAATATAGTTGGAGAATGCTATCAATGTACGTGAGATGCACCAAAAGGCAAAATCGTTATTGGTTTATCAATCTAACCTCTTAATCAATATAGGAAAGGCCAACCATACTGATTGATTTTTCAACTTAATATTTACTTTTCATATTTTAATTCGTTCATAGTTTCCACATGTCTAATTGCATAAAGTTTATTTGGTGCATCTCACTTGCAAAAAAAAAAAAAAAAATTAAACACTTTTAATCAAA